TGCCTAAAATTTAGAAAGAGCCAATAAATCACTTGAATCAATTAAAAGCAGCCTTACTATTTTTTTTATTTCAAAATGACACATATAATGAGTTAGTGACATCATTGTTGTACCATTGAAATAAGCACATCCAGTATCAAGGCCATTATTTTCTAGTTCTCTAGGAAAATGGAAGCAGATGTTGACAAATTATTTAATAAAAAAAATACCGAAAACACTTATCTTCAACTTTCCTATTATAAATATTCATATTTGAGTACTTCAGACATGTGGTGTTATTTTTTTTTTTTTTAATTTTTATTCTCTAAGGTCATAAAGACCACTACAGTTGAGAATAGGGTACAGCGAATTTTTTTTTTTTAAAAAGCTTAGGAAAAGGTGTACTTTTATGTAAAATCAAATTTTAAAGAGGGTTTCCTGAAAAAAAATTTTGATCGGAAAAAGTTTTGATACCCAAATATGGACTTTTAGAAATAGCAAAAATTAGTAAAATCTAATTTGTCACATGTCCTTCATTGTATTTTATATTTTATATTTTCATTGCGATAAAATATTAAATGTAAATAATATTTTTAGATTATTGAAAGTTTTTTAGATACTTTTTAAAATCATTATCTTGCATGGATCCTAACTGCAGTGCAGATTCTGCATTTTTTAGAGGGAGGAGGAGGGGTATTTAATTTTTTATAAGGTTCTAATGATTAAAAAATTTGATCATAACAGTTCTTTATACTTTCACCAAAAAATAGGTGGTTTATCCCCCTATCTTACCCCAATAATATTTTGATAGAACTACTAAAACACTATTAAAAAACAAATAAAATAAAAATCTATTGAAGTTAAAAATTTAATAAAATTTCTTTCTTTGTTTTAAAAACAGGTAGCAACTCTCTATGCTGAGCTCTAGCTCTAATATACCCATCTCTTGCATATGGTCCAACTACTGACATGGATGCTACTGTCACTTGTTTTACAGCACGTTCAGTACTTTGAGTATGAATTTTAATTGAAGGAGTTATTAAAGGTATCAATCTAAGTAAAAATAACTTATCTCTGGTGAGCAAACAAGTAAAAACAGGTTCTTCTACAACACCATTTTCCCATTTAACTAGCTCTTGAAGAGTAGTTGCTGCAAAGTTAAGTTTAGGTGTTTTTCTTGGTCTAATTTGCATATCTCCAAGGATATCATTACCTCTTAGTTTCAAAATTTGATCAACTGCAAAATTGCGATCTTCTGCATTATTACTAGATAATAAAGAGATTAGTATACTTTCATGGTTCGCATACCAAGCCCCTAACTGGATGTAGGGAAACACAATTTCTTTTACTCTATCAGGTTGCATTCTAAGAATTCTCAATTGAGACAGAATGTGATAAGAAGCATCTTCAAGTCTGTTTTTGACCTTTATGTCAAAAAAAAGTTTAAAGTAAAATTGTAAACAAAATACAACTAGTATTTCTAGATTTTGCGAATTTTGATCATTTAAGTTGTGTTTCCTTGTCCACATAAAGACTATTCTCATGCCAGTCTTGAGCCATCTGGCATGACTTAAGGGGTCACATTGAATTTCTCTAAGATTAGGTGGCAATAAACCAATCTTAACTGCTTTACATAGCTTGTAACATTGTTTCTGATCTGTTGACATATTTTTTAATATTGTTTCTGGAATGTCGACAAAGCTCTCTCCATTTGGAAGAGCTTTAAATTGAGGATTATACTCCATTTTATTAACATCAGGAAGAAATTTTCCCACATGACCTACAAATCCAGTACTACATGATGTTGGTCCATCAATGCCTTCTATAAGGTGACGCAAAAATAATTCATTTGAATGAAGCATGCATATAGCCCAGTGGCACTTGTGACCTAACAGCTTTTCAAGATGCGTTATAGCACCACCTTTCCAGCCTGTGTTAATTGAAGTACTGTCAGCTCCAAGTACTAAACATGATTCAGTAAGATTATATTGTTGCAGCAAATTATAAACACCTTCAGCAATCTTTTTAGCTGGCTTATCTAGATGATTAGGTGCATTTGGGGTAAAATGGCCAAGATATCGACCACCAGGTTCTATAGTCACAGTAATGTGCTGCTCTTTGATAATAATAGGATGTAGCTGTCCATTTGAATCATTTATCATTGCTCTTGTTGAATCTTTCCTTCCATCAAAGTAAATGGCAATATTATCTGCTTTCGGAAGTTTTAAATTATCATTTTTCTTCGCAACTACCATCACCTTTTTTCTCTCTCTCGTCAACTTAGAAGGATCACAAGCAAGGTAAGAGGACTTAGGAGTGAGAAATCCTGCTTCAATTAAATCTTGAAGATAACTTGTAGCAATTGCTGCAGTTGCGGCAGGTGAAATCCCAAACCTATAAAATAAGAATGGTTTATATTTATTTCTATTAACTCATGTTGCTGCTCAACAAAACAAAAGTCAATATAATTACCTTATACTAGCCATAGCTGTGTTTTTTATTGACATTGTGTTATATCTTGACTTCTTTTCTAAAAACCGTGTTACAAGGAAAGCATAGACACCTAACTTTTCCTTTAGCAGCCTTTTAACCAAAATCTTAATTTCATTGTCTTGTTTTAAAGTTAAGTTAACATTATCTAGATTATAGTTTTCATCAAGAAAGCCAGGAAAAATATTTTTTTGATGTTCTTTATCTAATTCTATATCTTCTTCTTCTGCGACCTAAAACCAAATTAAAACCAAAATACATATATATATATATATATATATATATATATATATATATATATATATATATATATATATATATATATATATATATATATATAATATATATATATATATATGTATTTTATATATATATATATATATATATATATATATATATATATATATATATATATATATATATATAATATTGTTATTATTATTATTATACGAAAAAAGAAAATATTTATTATTAAGAAATTATATTTACCTCGAAGAATGCTTGTTCCTCCTCTATTTTTTTAATTCTTTTTTTGTAAGCTTCTTCATCGCTGACTTTTCTCTTATACTTTTTTCTTAGTTTCATTGTCTCAATCTTATCAGCATGTCCCATCTGCATGTCAGACTTTTCACCTGTCTTATTTCTTTGACTGTATAACCACCTGAGCTCCATAGTTGGAATTTTTTTCGAATAAATACAGGTGCAATTTATTTGTGCTTTATTTTTACAATTTTTGGGGGAAGAACACCCAGACAGATCATGCTCGCATAGAAGTATTGTGTGAGGACATGTTATGAGGTCCATTAGTTTATTTAACTTCAATATTAGCTCTTCTTTTACTTTTACCTTAGTTCTTCCCCATGCAACGTTTTCTACTTTCTCCCAAAGTGTTTTTATTCTATAATAAAGCGATTTCTCCCCAACAATAACTGGTTGTTGAAATAAAATACTTGCTTTTTTCCATTGAGCAAGAACAAGTGGAATTAGATTGCTAGCAAGATCTTTGTTAGAATATTTATTTTGGTGTAAATTGCATGTTATGCTTTTTTGTTCTTTTAATAAAATTCCTTTTTGAATAACTGCTCTGTTTGTAGACAGCTCACTAGGAATAAAATCTTTTCCAGGTCCAACAAACTCAGAAATTCTAGTGGTGGATGAATATCTAGTTTTAACTTTCGACATTTATGAATAACTTGATAATATAACAAATAAAATATTTACAGACGACGATCTTGTTTAGATGTTTTTTACGGTGGAGAGCTAAGAAATTCTTTAAAAATTGATTTGGCACTGCGCTTATTATGAGAAACTAAACATAAAACCGGATTAAATTTACTTTATAATAATTAAAGTATATTTCATTTTAATAAGGTCTAAATATGAAAATTTGGGTATCAAAACGTTTTCTAATCAAAAAGTTGTCCATAGCAAACCTACCTTAAAATTTAATTTTACATAAGAATACACCTTTTCCTAAGCTTTAATTTTATTTTTTTCAAAAACATATGAAATTCACTGTACCCTAGTTGAGAAGGCTCTTTTTAGTTGTGGTTACAACCCCCTCTCAACTCTATAACTTCGAAACACAAACCTTGACTAACAAGACCGCTTTGCAGAGAAACAAGTTGATTTCAATCAGTATTTGAATATTTGGTGTCAGGTCAGTGGTTATTCTATTGAACGTTCTTCTAAAATATATAGCAGATTATTCATACTTGACATGTTTGTTCATTTTAATTGTTTAGCATATGTTTAAGAGGGTATTTTTTTGAACTTACTTGTACTACATGTTAATTTTATGAGATGATCTTTAAGCACTGCATTATATTTAGAAAGCATCTCAACCATGATGAGAATAAAAAATATTTTGTATTTTTATACAAAAATAAACATAGAAATAAATTATAAAAAAGATATTTTAGATAGAATAGATAAATACTAAAAATAACAACAACAAATACACAGTATTAACTCATGCAACTTTTTAATTTTTTGCCTAATTAATCCAAAACTACATTGCTCCATTATAATATACAATTAAAGATTTGTAAATCGCACCTCTCTGCAAGCCTTTTTACTGTTATGGGCAGTAATACAGATCAAAGGTTACTGTTATCATTTAAGGAGTACTTTTTCATGCAACACTAGTAAACGTTTTTTCTTTACAACAAACAGAAAACAGATACTTTTCTAAATATTTAATTTCTGTACCACGGCTGATAAAGTTATAGCAATACCTATAGAGTGACAGAATCATAGAAAGTAATAAATTGCATGTTGACGTCATTCTACAAATAGCTTCACCCACTGTACTGGGTGAAACTATTTGTATTATATTGTATCACAACGCGTTGTGGTGAGCTTTTATTTTTTTTTTTAAAAAGATGTAAAATATTTAACTAAAACTATTACTTTTTTATGTCACAGTAAATATGTTGTTACAACATAATATGCCACAATAAATATATACCATTTACGTAACTTGATTTTTTTAAACTTGAATAGCTTCTTTTTTATATATATATATATAGATTTTATTGATTGCTCTACGTTATGCAGCACCGAATCTAATGCGTTTTATGTTTTGCGCAATGTTTATTTTTACTGGTTTCACATTGTGTGGATGGATAGTCATGGGACCATATCATGCAAAGGTATTTTTTATTAGAATTTTCTAGTTAAATTTTTTTTTTTGAATAAATGTTGAAAACTTGACAATGTCTTATTTTAGTTCCAGACATTTTTGTCAACTGCTGAAGGGTTATTCTCATTACTTAATGGCGATGATATATATGCAACATTTTTGTTTATGAGCCCTCTTAACAGCTCTGTGTGGGTATTTAGCAAAATCTACTTATACACTTTTGTATCATTGTTCATTTACATCGTGCTGAGTACATTTATAAGTATAGTGGGCGATACTTACGAAAGACTCAAGGTATTAAGCAGCAGAATTTATATTATATTTAAAAACTATAGTTAAAATAAATCTTCAAAAAGAGGAAAGTATTTTTTATTTTTATTTTTGAGCTCCAAAACAATTTGTTATAATTTTATTAACTGTTTTTATTTTGTGGAGGACTGGGGAAGAATGCCTCCTACACGCATTGAAGTTTTTATTATGGGTCGCTCAACTTCAGGAAACAGCAATGAAGCATTTACGCCAACTTGTTCAAGATGGTATCAACTAATTATTTTTCATAAATATTTTAAAAGTTATCTTTGAATTATGTTTTAATGTCATAGTGCATTTTTTGTAGTATACGAGCATATAGCGTTGCTGGCCACGATCTTGTAATGAATTTAACGAATGAATCTCTAGAAACTTTATCCTCAAGACGGTTGTCTGTTGTATCAGCATCTATAGAATGATTTAATATTTTATATCTGCATATAATATTAGACGTTTGTACATAATTATCAGTTGTTATATAACTTAATTTGCTTATCTATTTTATACCAATATTAATACCATAAAATCTAATAGACACGTGTTTAACAATTTATTAGAGCATATTTTTGTCAACTAAGGACGCCACTATTAAAGTTTGTAGCAGTTTTTTCAGCATTTAAAATTCTCATAAGTTTTTAATAATTTAAGAGGTTTATTTTTTATTTGAAAAAAAATTTTATAAACTAATCTTCTGAAAAAGTTTTTGGGAAATTTGTTTATTAGTTATAAACTGTCGTTATAAGAAATTTGTTTAAATCTGTTTATGACTCTGTTTTGCATTGCGCTTTTAATTAAAAGCATTGAAAAAATATCAAGCGTACAAAAGATTTTCACCAAAAAAGTTTTATTACGGCAGTAAAAGGATCAGATATTAATGGACTTTACTCGGACTGGAAACCATATTACATTTTAGTTTATTAACTCGTTTAGGACCTAATATGATTGTAGTTTTAGCGACAAAAGAACTTTCCAGCTGAACTTTTTTTTTTTAAATCTTACACTATAGTTTTAATTTTACGGGTAATTTTACATTCAATTTTAAGATTGTATAAGTGCATTTCGACTCTAATGCATTTAATTTTGATTGCTGCATAAGATTTTAACAATTCGAACACAAGGTGGACACACAGCTTCCTATTTCTTTATTTGTATTTCTATTTTTATAAATATACTCAGAAATAAAAAATTTTTATTATTTATATTTCTATTTGAAGAAAATCAGTATTCTTATCAATAATGTCAAAAACCTTTTAAGAATTGATTTGAAAATTAATTGCCGAAAGCAATCTTTAAAAAAAACAAATTTAAAAATCTAATTATTTATTTCCGTCAAAAATTTAAAAGACTAAAATATAGCGAACTTTTCAAAGAAGCTGTGTTGTTTTTTTTCTTCCTAATTTTTAATGGTTCCAAAGTTATTCCGGTAATGCTAAGTGGTGGAATTTTGCCACCTATTTATATTAAATGGAATTCGATTTGATCGGATGTTTAACTTTAATTGCCATCATTTAGTTTTGGTAATTAATTTCTCAGGCCATGTGTGCCTTATAATCAATTAAAATTAATTAAATCAATCGATAATCAACAACAATGCCTCGAAACTACAAAAGAAAATCCGTCACCATTTATAGCGAAGAGCAAATGGAAAAATCCATTTTAAAAGTTAAGGCTGTGAACCTGAGTTGTAAGCGAGCTGCAGACCTGTACGGTAAATCTTAAAGGACACTAGGAAAAATAATTCAATATCCAGAAATGATTGTCGTTGCTGGTACCTTAAATCTTATCAATGTGAATGAATCCTTACTGGCTCACATGCTTCAAATTCTAGGTGACTGGGGTTACGGCTTATCTATACCTAATATTAAATCCGTGATGTACGACTTCTTTTAATAGGAACAAACCAAACTACCTTATTCAAAAATGAAAAGCCAATGATCGAGTAGTGCATAGTTTTAGGTAGCATCATATTAATTAAGTCAACGCAAACTACTTAAAATTTAAACAGAAATTACATTAACGATCTTCCAGATATTCTCACATCTAAGGTGACATTGTTCGCTGATGATACTACCATTTATTTTTGTCACGATAAGAATCCAACTCCCTCTGATTGCTTGCAGGGGGCATCTGAGCTTGAAAAGGATCTCACTTTTGCTACAGCATGGGGCTCACAGTGGCTGGTGAACTTTAATTCAGATAAAACTCAACTTTTTTTTTAGCCAATCGTTATCGCAATAATTTAGACCTTCCTATGTTTATGAACGGTAATGTACTCAATGAATCATCTACCCTTCGTCTTCTAGGATTAACTTTTACTTCTGATCTTTCTTGGAAACCTTATATCAAACCCGTTGCAAAATTAGCATCTGCTAAAGTTTCATCTCTTTATCAAGCTCGACACTTTCTTACTCTGGATTCTATTCTCTATCTCTATAAATCTCAAATCCGACCTTGTATGGAATACTGTTGCCATGTCTGGGGCGGATCTTCTAATGATGCTCTTTCTCTTTTAGACAAGGTGCAAAAATGCATTGTAAACATAGTTTGACCTGCTCTTGCAGCCAACCTTCAACCTCTGTCACATCGTCGTAATGTTGCTTTTATTTCTCTTTTCTACAAATACTATAATGGGCACTGCTCTAAAGAGCTAGCGTCTCTTGTGCCATCTACTAAAATTCATTCTCGTGTTACTCGTCATTCAATTAAGTCTCATCCTTTTTCTGTTACTGTTCCTAAGTGCTCCAAAAACTCTTATTCGTCTATTTTTTTTTCCTCGAACATCAGTTCTTTGGAATTCACTTGATCTTGCTTTCCTGATTCATATAATTTGCAATCTTTTAAGTTGTCTGTCAATTGTATTCTTGCTCAACAATCTTCATCTTTTCTCTTTCAGTAACTTCCAACACTAATTAGTGGTTGCTTGCAGCATTGTTGGAAGCGAAGATGTTAAAAAAAATAAAATAAAAAATAGAGTTGTTAGTCAATTTTCATTTTCCACCAAATGGTGGAACAATTTTATGAGAGGTCTCGTTTTTATCAGATATTCTGACACTTTCTTCACCACGTTCTTGACATTTGATTTCAATTGTTATCATTTATTTGAGTATTATTTAATTCATAAATAAAAAATAATTTTCACTATCTCTAGAATGTTTATCTACTTCTACTTTCTTTCTTTTACACCTAATTTTACTTTCTCTTACTATACATTTATATTGCAGTACTTACATTCTTCTTATTTACATAGTCACAACATTCATTATCCACAATACTTATTGATTTTTTACAACTACGACCATTAATACCCTTTCTTGATGACTTTCTTATAATGACTTTCTTATTATACCCTTTCTTGATGACTTTGTTATTATGAGGATTTCCCATGGTTAAACTTTGTTATTTCACTATAATTTAAATAAAATATTAAACAATTTTGACTTAAAATACATTAGAATAAGTAAAACCTGAATTATGTGTGCTTTTTCAACAGCACAACTTTTAATAATAAAATATATAACAATTTAGACGTATAAGGGAACATTAAAAAAGCAAAAGAGATAAATTACATAAAGTTTTAAAAAGTATACAAAAACTGTAAAAAAAAATTATGTTTTTTCATATTTTTACCATAATTTCCTAATTTCACCATAATTTCACATAATTTCACATATTTTCAATTATGCTTTTTCACCACTTGAAAGACAATTAAATTTTACATAACAATATCACTTTTGCGAAAAATTCATTTTTTGAAAAAAAATTGATTTTTCATTATATAGGAACTACCTTAAGAAAAGAAAAGATAAATAATACGATGGGTATCTGCAAGAAAAGGGTGGGGGCAAGACGGGACACTAGCTCCTTGCATTTTCTAAAATTTAGAAAAAAAAACCTAGTGTTTCTTGCCAATCTGAGTGCCAGAAATTTTTTTTTATTGTACGCTTTTGGTAATTTTTTGAATTTTAAGCGGTACGGTTTCATTACAAACTTATTTTTTGTTTCTTTAAAAATGTGCGGCTATAGCGCAGTGGTTAGAACGCTTGCTTTATAAGCAGGAGATCCAGGTTCAAAACGAGCTTTGGACATATTTTCGCGTCACGGTAAGGAAGGAGGCGTGAACTTCTTGGTTAAACGTACTTCCGTGATGCACTGTGACAAGATCGTTAGATCTTCTTAGGGCACCTAAATAAAAAAATAAAAATAAAAAAACTAACTACTTGTTTATACGGTATCGGAAAAAAATCGTAATGTCAGTACTATTAGGGTGAAAAATTTAATAGTACTGACATGTGAACCTTAATAGTACTGAGATTATTTTTGAATTGAAACTTGATATGATGAAAATTAAATGTGGGGCAATGTTTAAACCAATTTTTCTTTTTAAGAAATAATGTTTTTCTTTTTAAGAAATATATGTAGAACGACGACTTTAAGAGAACGACTTAGTAGTCATCGATAAATTACGTCACGTATTAGGGGGGAAGGGGGAATAGACTATTTTGTGACGGTTTATTACGAGGGGGAGAGGGGGTCTCGATTTTGTGACGCAATATTTTTTTCTTTTTTAGTTTCAAATCTAGAGAAGACTTTCTTTTGATTAAAAGAGTATCTGACCAAACCAAAAACCTCAGTTGATGTATCTACAAATTAATTGTAAAATCAACTACGCCTAAATCTTACATAGTCGATGTGTACACTTCGTTAACGGAGTAGTTACAGCCTAACAGTTTTTGTGCAGTGCACGCTCTACGCTTTGAATTTAAATGTGAGTGGTTTCTCGGTGACAAGACATCACGGTCTTCTACGAGTTTTCCGTTTCTTTATTATGTAATCTTTATTTTCTAACGATATCTTTATTTGTAGTTAATTTAAATTAATGTGAGATAACTTTTTTATTTTACTTATATTTGTATATAGATTTTAATAAAGAAAGAAAGTAAGAAAAAAAAATGATCCAAGTGTAAAATGTGCGGCCGTGGTACAGTGGTTAGAGCGCTTGCTTTATAAGCAGGAGATCAAGGTTCGAAATGAGCCTTGGACATATTTCACGGTAAGGAAGGAGTGAACTTCCTGGTTAAATGCACTTCCGCGGTGCTCTGTGACAAGAACGTTAGGTCTTTTTAGGGCACCTAAATAACAATTAAAAAAAAAATTCTGCTCTGATGAATGTAATTTCAAAAGCAAGAGAGGAAACGTCGGCTTATTAACGTTTCTAAAACCAGTTTCTTTGTCGTATTGTTTAAGAATTGCTTACTAAACATTTTAACGTGACAGTAAACGCCTGAATTAAGTGGTTGTAAAAAATGTTGAAGAATGGGATGATAAAACTATTCTTTCCATTTCATGCTCTTGATATAGTTGAATCGCTGCCATGGAAACATGACTTGAATGACCATTAGCTGCTAAAAATACTGATTCTTTGCAATTAGCATTTTTAAAAGGGAAGAGCATAGATATAATCCATTGTACAAATTGATCCTCACTCAATACTCACTAATACCCCATTAAACCCAAAAATGTTTTGCTTTGTAGACAACAAAAAGTGGCAAATAATAACTGATGGCATTGCAGCAATTATTGCTAGTGTGATGGATTTTTTTATTAATGCCACCAATAATAAACGGTCTCCTTGCTCCTCTTCT